GGAATAGAATATTATTCTGTAATTATTGTTCCAAGACAGCTACCCTGTTGGCTGTTTGGTTTTAAAGCAATCCAAGGATGCTTGGATTCACAAGTCTAATTTATCTTAAGTGAATTGCTTCTATAGAAAAACAAAAAAAGGCCAATAACAATAAAAGAAGCTGTTCATTTGCAGAGTATCTCTGTTAACCATGGATGCTGTGCTTGTCTGGATTCTTAAGCACAAACTTTGGTCCGGTTCCAGACGAGCTTGTTTTTGTAAGTTTTTAAAACCCAAATTCAACACCAGGCTGGTTTCAAGGGGAACAAGGAGAAGAGTGAAAATACCTCTGATGATGCCCCACTTTGTTTTTTTAAAAAAAAAAAAGGAAACAAAAAAATCTGTCATTGGATTAGAAAGCAATTAATCGCTGAGGAGATAATTACACTTGTCCTGACAAAAATACCCAAGTACAAAATGACAGAGTAGGGTAAACATTGGGGCTTCTTGCTTGTAGAGTCATTAATTATGCAGGACGTTGCTACTTTTCAGTACAGGGCAACTCTTTGATAAGTTTAAAGAAACTACCCAGTTCTGAAATTTGTCGTTACAATGTCAATAAAAAGCCTGTATGGTAATGAGCTGTTGATTTCCACTGCAGGATTTCATTAAAAAAAATAATAATAATAAAAAAAGTTTATTAAAGCAGACTGAAGAAAAAAAAGATATTTGTTTTGTGCGTATTTGACTCGATAACAATACAAGAGGTGGAAAAATGAAGCTAATTAACAAATATTGCAGACAAGCAATTCTGGAGACAAGTTGAAGCATTCTAGCATTAGCATTTTTATTTTTATTTTTTATTTTTTGGCATATCCCGTCTGTCAGTGATGCACTCAGAATTGTTCAAGGCTCCAGGTAATTCCTGACTTTCACAAGCGGACATCATCCTCCACTTGATATGTATGTGTGTATTCATGAACCTTTAGTAGAAATTGATTTGAATTTATTTGAAATGTAATGTACAAGGTGGCAGAAATAGGGAGAAAGGTGAGGAAAAGGTTTAGAAGGAAAGGAGACGGAAGTGGAGGAGAGAGAACGCAAGTCGACACTCTTCAAGTTTGCCTCTGGATCTATTATATATATATATATATAACACATTATGCAAGTAAACAACTTTGAAAGAAGAACTTCCTAAGAAATGCAGATAAAAAGACTAGAGGACTTTTAAATGGGTGCACTCAAATGAACAGTTGCCTTATGCGATGCCACCAGAAGCATGTGCTTCCTAAAGCATGTGTTGGGAGATTTTATCTCATTTGAAATGAAATGCAACAAACTGGCAAAAGCAAACGGACAAACAGACCCTGACCTGCTGCTTTACAGATAACAAACTATTTAAAACGAGTTGGATCCATTTTACTAGATCCATCTGGTTAAATAAATAAAGATATCAAAGTTATTTCCATTTTGATTTCTCTCATACATATGGGAGTGTACACCTATAACCTTGTGTGGACTGCTTGTTGCAGGAGATACTCATAGGCGGTTATTTGCGACATCAATGAAAACATTTCTTGCATTAATGTAATACTACGGTATTACATGGTTGGTTCAGGGCTGTTTCCCATTCAGCGTTTGGAAAACTAATGCATACTATTAATCTGTGCCCTGCTGAGGGCGAGAAGGAGGTTGTTAGGAGTCGTAGAAACGCTCTGCTGAGATGTGATTGTACACTGTGGCACGTGCTTGGATCTAAGCCCGTAGTTCTTAACCAAAAAAAAAAAAAATGTTTCTTCGTACAAATTAAAAGGAATCTAGAATTAGAGGGTAAGGAAACCTTTAATCCTTCATTCGATGATTAAATTGTAGTTTCTAAACAATGTTTCTTGTCCATATACAGAAGAGAGAGCCGGAAATGTTTGAGTCGTCTAATTATTGTATTTTCCTTTTTTGTGATCTTGTTTATAAGCTAAATGCATTCCCTGCAATGTTGAACGTTTTACATACCACAGCCATGGTAGCTCTCATGTTTTCATGCAGGTTACACTTCATATCTAGGCCAAGAAAACAAATTCAAAGAGCCGAGGGAAAGCTGCTAGAAGTGACGACACTGACTCCGATGCTTCCTGCTATTTCCTGTGATTCAAAGCATTTTGTTCAGCAGCAGAAAACCCCAACCCACTCAGTTTATTATATCCTAGATTTTAATTAAAAATGTTAGTGAAACTTCAAGTTTAAGAAGGAATTTGTTTTCAGAACCCTTTTATCAAAACTTGACCTACAAGCTATGCACAGTCACCCTTTTTGCATTATCTGACGCACATAAAAACACCCACACACACGGCTATATGCATATGCTGTTGGAGATTCAACTAGAGACCCTTTTTCTTTTTCCACAAAACTCAAAACGATACACTGAAGAGGCACAGTCTCTTTATTCTCCTCTTTACATGAAGGTTTTGTTTTGGTTGTGTGGAGTTGTTACCCTGCTGTGAGGGGATCTTCCACCCCTGCCTCAGCTTTTCTTTCAGGATTGCACTACAGCTGCACATATTTTTATTTTTTTTTAATCAACTCCATCAATGTCTTTGCTGACGAAAAGCATCTCTGCTGCACGATGCTGCCATCTCTGTATTTTGATGGGGAGGTGATACGTCTAGGGTTATGCGCCGGGCTTGTTTTTCTCACCTACTTTTGTTTCACTTTGCTTTATTTGATTTTGAGTGTAACTTCACCATTATTTTAGATTTGTGCATCAGTAAGCCATTTTGCCTTTCAGATTTGTTTTCATTTTGTTAAATGTTTTGTACAGGATTGGGATTAACCTTATTTTAAATGGGCTTTTATAAATTGAACTTAACTTTGAGGACAAACTGTTTTGCTCGTGGGCTTGAAAGATTTTAGATTCACATGATCAGACCAACTTCTTCGTTGAGTTTGCATGCAGGTCTTCTGGTTGTATTCTCTATCTTCTGGCCAGATTTGGGGAGTCTGCCAGCTGAATCTTGTATTTATGAAGCCACTCCTAATTTGTGTACAGCAAATACATATATGTTGCAGTTTTTTTTGTTTGTTTTTTTCAAAAACTTGTTTCCTTCCACCTGAGAATTTTTTATTACTCTTTGGTGGTACGTCACATACAATCCTGAGAAAAGATACTGAAGTTTGATCAAAACACACATGGGATGCTCACAGGACTTTGTTTTATGCCTTATATACTGGCCCAGCTCTGTCTGAAATGGGATGTGTCCGATAACATCTGAGGCAACTTTGTTAGTTACTTGGTTAGGAAATGACATTATCGAGACGACAAGATTCCTGCTCGTTTGGACAGCAGTGATAGACATGCATGAACTTACTTCCTGTCGAAAGATGCAGAACTATGGAATTATATGATCACATTTGCTGAAGTGAACATCCTTCTGCCGTCTCCCTAAACAAATAACTGTCATTTCATCTTTTACTGGACCTCCTGTTCTCTCACTTGGCAGCCCATTTCCTGGCTGTATGCGTTTCTGTTTCCTGCTCCTTGAGTCAGAACAAACTGCGGGGAGTGTTTTTGTTGGACAGACTGCAGAATGATCTGAGAATTTTTAACAAGTAAAAATCAAATCACAGCTGAGTGCATTTTTACAGCTCTGGAGACCACACACACACACACACACACACACACACACACACACACATTCGTCGAAACACAATTAGTGTGGGGCTTTCAGTTTTTGGTCACTCGTACTTATCATCCATTTGCATTAAAGTGTGCACTTTTACAACCCTAGCACTATTTGTATGTGGAAATAATTTTTTTATACATCTAAAATATTTCTAATTCAGTCAATTTTCACTTTTACTTGGCCAATGAAATGCTTCCAGCCAGGTTTGATTTAATGTGTGAAAGAAGCAGATATAAAGTTGTACAAGGTGTGTTGAGTAATGGAGTGGGGCCCCTGCCAGGTCAGGAGGCGAAAGCTGCTTACAGGAATGATTTAAAAGTTGAGAAGTATTTATTTTCTCCAAAGTTATTAGCTCTGTGGAAAGTGGAGAAGCACCACCTATCACCCCCAGGGGGCCTGGGTTTAAGACTCCTGCTTTAAACATTGAAATCAATAAATATTGCCTGTTCAATAGCTCTTGTGACCTTTGCAATAAGCATTGAGTAATCCATATATGAGGTCCTGACCAGAAGAACGGGAATGATAGTTGGTTGTGTGAGCCGGGACGGGTGTGTTGCTTCGACACACCAGATGGGCAGGGTTGTATGTGCTGTTAGCGGGCTCCGAGGCATGAGGCCTGCATGGAGCCCAAACAGCTGCTGCTCTTTAAATGAAACTTCTGACATTAACAGCGGTTACTGCGCTCCTGCGAGGCCTCCCTTTACAGCTGTTCTGAGGCCATTTCGTCTTTTAATTGGGACGGGAGAGATCATAGATTACATTAGTCGGAGAGGAGACTCTGAAGGCCGATGGGTTTCCACAGTGGGACCCCTTCGTTTTTATATCCTTTGGGTTGTTAGCTCCGGTGTCACCGTATACTTAATCAGCCTCCCATACGGATCATTTGTCCTTTCTGGCAAACCTTCATTGTTCAGAAGATGGTTCTGCATACAACTATTATTTGGGACTTTTAATGCAATAGCAAACTTTTTGACTTTATGTTTTTATCAGGCATTTGTTTTTAAACTTCTTGAACTAAATGACCTTTTTCCTTATTTTTGCAGAGAAATGGCATCCTTAAAGAGAAATTACACAAATAAATATCATTTTCCTCAAAGCCCGTGTGCCGCCAGTCTAGACTGGGTGGCTGTAACCAATACCTGCTGTCTGACCAGCAGCGACATATTATATATTTGCAGGAGACAATCACTGTATTTATATATGAGTTAAAAATGCCCAGGAGACAACAGTGGAGATTACATATCTGCAACCGGAGTGCTAGGAGAGATTGACATAGGACTGTTAACTCAATTCAAACTTGATTAAGTCTAATTGGAGAATGAATGCTGCCTCTCTTTGAGCAAGATGGGGGAGGACAGCCTGAGAGGGTTATTGACAGGCTATTGGTGCCCCCAGAGCAGGCCACAGACCTTTAAGAGTATGTTTTCATACCTCAAAGGATTCAGTGAAAGGGGTCAGGCTTTGTAACTAGAATATAAAGTGTATCCAGGGGAGCGCCAAAGTGAATGTTTACATTACATGCTAGATGTAGAAAGAGTGTTTCAGGTACAATTCATCTCTTTGGATATTTGTCTCTAGAGAGAGCTGTGTATATATATTTGCCACTTAACAAACATTCTAATACAACAAGGATATGCTCACCAGAGGGCAACGACTTTAAGCTGATCAATTTTATTCAAACAATTTCTTTAGAGGTGGTTGTCCTTCAGTAATGGTGAGCACTGCTTTTTTATGACACGTCGTTCAGGTGCAGCAGAGAGAGACTTAAAACAAATAACAGGAAGGTTAAACATTGTACAGCAACATTACTTTGTTTAATCCTACTCAGCATTCAGCTGAGCTTGTCGTGTTTGAAAGCGTTTTCGAAATCCTTTCAGTTGTCTGATTTAAAAAAAAAAAAAAGAGGGGGGGCAAAAATAAGAATCTACAACAATGCTGTTATTTCCCCTGATGATGTTTCAGTGTGCCTGAACATCATTTATTTATGTACTTGAGAGCCAGTGCCTGCACATTTTAGATGCCTCTGCTTAAATCAAATAATCAGGTCATCAGCAGGACTCTGATTTGACTGCATGCTGAGAAGGCAATTCAGCCATTTGATTTAGATGTGCTGGAGGGTCCACAGGTAAAAGTTTGAGGACACTGGCCCTCAAGGAATGGAGTTTAAGAGCCTTAACTTTGGGCCTTATTAAAATATCTTGAAGACCAACAGCCCACCACTGTGTTTTATTGCGGCTAGTAGCACTGATTGCTGATATAAGGAGGTAAACACCATTTAAAACTTTAGCTCTGCAGTTATTTGTCTTTGCTTAAAATTGGTGATGCCATGTATTATATCGATGTCTCCCTCACACAGTGTGACATCGCCTCCCCTTCCAGTCTAACTCTTCAGTACAAAGCCTGGAAAAAAAAAAAAGACACACACAAACACACACACACACACACACACACCTAAAATCTGTAGTAGATTGGCACGTCTGTAAACATTAGTGTAGCTTTATTAATAACAGCGTTCTATTACTTTTGAGCAATTGGAATAACTGTTGCTTTCCTATGTTTAATAAAATCAGTTTAATCTGTTTATACATTTTTGTTTTGAATTTGTGTGCTAAAACTCCTATGGAAGAATCTCATTTGCATCGTGCCTAGTTACTTTTCCCCCAGCTAGCTTAAAGGGCTTTGTTTGAGCTCTGACATGGCTAACTGAAAAAAAAAAAAAAGAAAAAAAGATAAACCATTAATCTTCTCTGTGCATCACTTTATCACACAGCATCTATTGCTCTACCATGTACAGCTCCGCTTGGCCTGCTTTGTGTTTTAGCAGCGATCACAGGATCCTGCTTCATCCTGCATCAGATCTCATTAAAGATGGAAGTGAAGATTAAACCACATCCTCTTTAGCACACTGTGGCACTGGGCAGGAGACATCCACTTCCCTTCTATTACTTATGAATAAGATTGAACAGGCAGTTCCTGCAGTGGCAAAAATGAGGCTTGTTTGGTACACCAGTGGAGGGGTTTTTCTTCAGGGAAGATGAAAAATACTTCAGTGCTGTAATAAACGCAGAATTGGAGATTTTGCAGAAGAAAAGATGTATCATTTAAAGATAATGGAGTTGGGAAGTGCACAAAGAAGTAAAGTCTTTTAGGAATAGTATATGTCTCGCATTAGGCTTTTTTTCTCTCTTTTTTTTGGAGACGTATGAACTGTGTGGTGTTGTTGATTAAAGTGTGTGAATTGGCTGTGTGAAACTGACTTATGTGCAGCTGTCGGAAGCTGTTCTTCAGAATGAGGCTGAAGCTACGTTTCCTTTTGTACTTTTGTGCTGCAGAACAAGAGTTAAGCCAATTAAATCCTTTTAAGGTTTGAAACTGCATCCCAGCTTCATAAATGATGAACGCAGCGAGTGCTAGCCATGGCTCTTTACTGCTGGCTCCTCAGTAATTAGAAGCTCCATTAATGATCCCAAATTACCTCGTCTTTGAAGTACTTCCTTAATCCAGACATTGTCACATTCTTTCAGTGCGGTGAGGGGGAAAGCTCAAAGATGCTCATCTGATGCCAAATCTGAGTTCAGTGTGGTTCTGATTGTGCTGTTATACAAACTCCCACGTGTCCGCCGCTTTTTTTATATGAACGAAACTTTCCAGCCTCCCATCCGACCTCCTCAAGACAAAATAAAGTGTTTAATTGTAGTTAAAGAAAAAGTGAAGAAAATATTCATATTGATGCATATGATTTTCAACTGAATTTCCTCTAGTTCTTTGATCTTCTCTTAAGTCAAGAAATAAGTGAGCTACTTTTCATCGTTTTGATCTTCTGATTTTGTCTTTCCATTATATAGGAGCAGCTTATTAGCAGCTCTACTTTCATAAAACAAAACATAAATGAATCGCCCATTTGGCCATTACTTCTAAAGAAAAATTTCAATAGAACATTTGTCTAGCTGATTTTTGCAAACCAAAAAAAAGAAAAGAAAACATTTTGGATTGATGTCTTGTAATACAGTTTTTAAGAAATTGGTATTGATATTATTGCTAATATACTTGAAGACATGTTTCTTTTCATTTAATTTTCCATTCATTATCATCAAACACACTTAGAATGTATTCTAAAACAAGGCTGTCTGCAAAATAAGGCTCTAGTGAAATTACGTTTTGTTGGAAAAAATTAAACCCAAGGAAAAAAAAAAAAAAAAAAAGTGGAGAAAAACTTTTGTTAAAAGCTGATGAAATTTAAATTAAAGTTAACTGGGCCACTACAACAGAGAGGCAGGACCATCATGTCTCTATTTTTGTTTGCACGAGGAAGCACTTTTTCACCACAAAACTTCTCCTTCTCCCACGCTGCTCCACGGTTTGGCGGTGGCTGAACAGATTTAGGTAGAGCCTGCTCGCACCAGCAGAACCCCGCCAGGTGCCTCTTCTACTTCTGAAAGATTTTTGACTACCAGCGGAGCTCCGCCTGCTACAGCGTCTGCAGCCAGGTGCTGTTGCTTTGTCGTGCCTCATCATGTCGCCATAGAAACACAGATCAGTTGACTGCATTAAAAAAAGTCCTGGTTGCAACATGATTATATTAGTTCCTCTGTAAAAAAAAAAAAATTAAAATAAATAAATAAAAAATTAGGAAAGTTCTAATGCACCTTTTGTCATCAGACAGGTGCTGATGTCTCAATTGTTTTTTAAAATTGCTTTCAGTAAATCTGACATTGTTAGTAATTTTGCTATTTTTCATCTTTCAACTGAATTTCTCTGTGTATAATCCAACATTTGATCCTCCTATCGTATTTTCAGCTCACATTTAACTGGCGGAAACGTGAGCCAAATTAAAATCCACTGATCTAAGCAGGTTTTCTCAGTTTGTCTACCTCTGCACCTGCCATTTCTTTTTAGGTCATTCATCCATCTAACGTTGCAAACTGAATTGCATTTTAATCATGCATGCTTGAAACCATTTTGTGGCTCCAGTTTTCCCCCCTTTCCTTTAGTGCATTCACATTATCTATTTGGAGACAGACAGCAGCCCTTTTGCTACCATTCTGGACTGCGTCGTGATTGGGGTAACGCTGGAATACAGATTGATCTCTGCCTCTAATAGAGGTCACAACGACATTTCTATCCTTCATGTTAACAGAATTTTTTTTTTTTTGTTTGTTCTTACAAATGCTTTAAAATCAGATTCTATTTGTCAAACTTACAACTGACTGACCTTTCAAGCAATTTGTCATATTTACCTCTTGCCCAGGGGTTCGGCAACTATACAAAAGGCAGTGTGAGGGCTGCTTTCTATTTGCGTCTCAGGACCTGCCCCCCTCATACTCTGGGAATGGTTGGTGACAGAAAAGACTAGGTAAGGGTAATTTGGGGAAAAAAGGATATATCAAGTGATGTGGCACCCAATGCATTTCAAATCATGTGTCCTTGGGATGCAAGGTTACTGCTGAGTCCTCCCACCAGAAACAGGCTGAGTAAACTATAGGTTTTAGTGAATGGACCTTAAAATGAAAAGGTCCTGTGGACTTTGGCTTGCATGCAGTTACACAGAAGGCACGTCTATTTTTGTAAAATGATTAAATGAGATTGGACTGCAGTACAGCTTGTAAAAATGTTGGTCTTTTGCTTAGCTAGTTAATGGTATGCCACGACCTCTATAATGTTGGCTGAGTTGCGCGAGGCCCCATTTTGCATCAACAGTCTAGAGGAAATGCAAGATGATTTGAAAATATCTGTGTTACGATGAATCTTGCAAACACTATTTCAAAGTGAAGACAGTCTTGACATTACTATGCTGTATAACATTTGCCAAATTGGAGTTTCAGTGCTGCTTTCCCAGCCACTCAACCACAATTTTCATCTACTTTTGCGTTTGTTTCTCTGTGGTTCATACATGGGATTCAAGTGAACAAGTTTTCTGTACAAAATGCTGCTCTAATGCAGGATGCACCATCTGGTACAATTAAATTAGATGGTATAGCTCTCCTTCCATATATGTTGGGTGAGAAGGCAAGATGCACTCAAAATCAAACCTGCAAAAGTCCCACGTCTTTCAGTTTCTGAACAGCTAGCACCATATGTGCAGTTTGGAGGTGTGCGCTTCTCCACAGTTGGGATCCTTGTTCTTCTGGGCGCGGAGCACGCTAATCTCCATGTGCACTGAGCATTATATTAATAGCTGTGGAGCCGAAGCATGGTTAGTTTCAGTTGGTTGCAGCCAAACAACACGCACCCACCACATCTGGATGGTGGTTGACGATTAAAGGCACAACACCCAGCGAGTATTTTTAAAACTCTTTCCTTTCAGAAGCATCAGTGCCTCTTCTAAAACTGTCTATGACTGAACTTCAGTAATATGTTGTGATAAGTAATCACGGGTACTATGTGAACCTTCCATGCAGCAAACCAGAACTCTGATGCGCTTCCACTATGATCTAATCACAGACATTTCGGTCAGTAGAGAAATCTCCTACTCATGTATAATGAGTGCAGAGCACCTGGGGAAGCCTCTCCAGCACTCTGCAGAGACAGCCTACTAATTTTTGATTGTTTTTAATTTTGTGCTGCAGTCTAAGTTTGGTGCAAACAGAGCTTATCTAAAGCTCTTTTTTTTTTTTTTTTTTTTTTTGCACGTATAAAACTTGCATGTATTTTACAGACTGAAATTTACTCTCTAATCGTCTTCTGCTTTATCATAATCATTTGGAGGGACTATTTCCTTTTCTTTATTTCCTTATGGATCTATTAGTGCTACTCTACACACCCTTTTTATTCTACAGTATTAAAATGAGTATGAAGTGTTACAATGGACATCAAAATTATGCATTACAAATTTTCTTTGACCTTGCAAGCCAGAAGGGGGAGGAGAAAAAGGACTTGGCACCGACGATTTTATTCTAATGACTTCTTTTCATCAAAACAGGAGGATAAGTTGTCTGCCTCTCTCGGTCTCTCTTCTTCAGTTTTTGGCTTCACAGTCTTAATTACGAGAAAATCCTTTACGCTTTTTCCCCCACTCTTATTTGTGTGTATGAAAGTCACTTTTCTTTCTTCCTAGTTGCAGAATTATCTTTCAGGGTGTTTGCTTTCACTTTATCTCTTTTTCAGATTGCTCTCTTTTGGGTTTTTTTTTTTTAACTATTTTTCTTTTTCTCCAACTATGGGATCCCACCTAGCAGAGAGGTAGCTCACTGGTGAGGATGAGATAGGGATTTAAATAGTTTTACTCTGGGATCTGTGTCTCTGTGTCTTCTGTGCCCAGTCGAGTGCAAGGGAAAGAAATTATAAGGAAAGAGAATAAATCTTCGAGGGGTTCTTCCAGCTGTGTCGTCTTCGCCTTTAAGATTCAGTTCTATAATCAGCCTCACAGTTACTCTCAGTATGTGAGCTGCAGAAAGCCTTAATTTTCGTTGGCATGTCTAAAAGAAACATAAATTGGCTCTCTAGAAGTGACAGCCCTCCAACAATGTAACTTGCTCTCAAATGTGATTTAGTGTTGAGTGTACCAAACTGCAGAAACTCTTTGTGCACTGCCCCACCTCCTTTCTTTTTTTTTTTTTGTAAGGCTCCTCACACAGGAACACTAAACCTGGCAGTCTGGTGTAAAACTGTCACAGCTTTGGATAAACTACCAGAGGAGGCACATTGTTGCACTTCTTATATGGGATATGAACTATTCGTTTTGTGCTCTTTGACTGAAGACTCTTGGGTATTTTCCAATAGATAGTGGGCATCTCATTTAAATCTTTGCTTTGACATACAACATGACAGCTGTAGTGGAATAATGTCCATGTTCAGCCAGGAAGCAAAGAGCTTTGAAGGAAGTCATTTAACTGCTCCAATTAAAGCAGTTCTGCAAAGTTCAGCAGGAAAACAGGGATATCATTTAGGGAGATATAATCATTGTCAATCTATCCTTCTTGTTGGTATCCCCAAGATAGCTATTAGAACTCCTCAGCCTGCAGCGTGTCTGTCAATTATTTAGTGTAATGTAGATGACTGTTGTTTCATTCTCTTCTGAGTGGGTAAGTGGGGGGATGTTTTGATTGTAGCTCTTCCTAAGATTGTTTGATGTCAGCCTTGCTAGAGTCTAACAGCATGAGAGGTATAACTGCATGTGTTTTATTAATTTAACCGTATTGTGTGTGCCTGTAATGCGACTCAGATAATGTTCGTATTACATTTTATGAGTAGTTCTGTCAAAAATGCTGGTGATTCTCTATGTAATTCTGCACGTTCTCTTGCGATTCAAGAGGCTAGCTGCTTGGAGGCAAATGCAGGCAAGAGGACAGGTCGTGTTACTGTGGATATTATGCCCTTATGAGTTTGAGGGATCCTGTTTAGTCAGAGTGGACCCTCTGTTTAAATATTAGCATTAGGTTTTCGAGGGATAACGCCAGAATGCATAATGAAGCAAAGAGGTTGTAATACAGGAGGAGCTTCAGGCCTGGCAGGTTGCTGTGAGAGGCACTGTGAGTCTGATTTGAGCTCGCCGATGGAGAATACAAAGTCACTTTACCAAAACAAATGAATTTAATCGAACAACAGCACTGGGGAGCACAGCCTTTTGGATAGGCATTTATAGGAAGCATTCAGTTTCTGCATTATTGACACGGCTGTATTTTATTCAGGCTGAGAAAGATTATTTGATGCTTTGAATAATGAAGCAGGTATTGTAGTTTTGATGAGTCTAATCATGGTTGATGATGCTGTGGGCAGGAATACTCCACAGTAACGTGTTCTGGACGACACAATCACTGCTAATCAACCTCATTTGCTTTTGCTACTCTTTTATAAATATTTGTCTGGCCGCTTGGTAAGAATGCTGGACAGAGAGACATTGAAGTCGGGGACATGATCCTGGATCGTTATGATTAATGGAAGAGACGGTTTGAGCTTCCTCCTTTCCTCTTTGCTCTGCATTCATGAAAAGTCCTTTTCAACTCCTCTGGGATTTGACATTACAGTTCAGGTTTGTGATGCTAATTAGCTGCTCCCTGTGTTATGTGTATTCTCCCAATACACGTAACAGTTTATGTGTATTGTAAGGACAATACACATAAACTGTCCAGAAGTAAAAACGTAAAACTAAAAACCCCTACAGCTGCACAGCATTCAAAAGCACAAGAAATTAAGTGATACCTCGAAAGCAAAGAAAAAAGAAAAAAGAAAAAACAAAACAAACAAACACTAGAACGAAGGCAACAGCTACTGCAATATGCTGCCACCATGAGCGGCGCGATTCCAGAACAGATCCCAGCAGTCTAGTGAGCACTTGCAATCTCATCCGCTGCTACTGCTTTGTTGTGCATCATGTCTGTTCTGCCGGTGTGATTCCTTCAACCCCCGCCCCTATTCCATGTCAGAATCTGTCAGTCAATCAAGATGCATGATAAATGAGTTCTGAAAATACGTCGTCATTTCACAAGTAGCAGCAGTGGCAAAATGTTAGTTTCTTTGGCAGGAATCACAGTGTTTCTTTTTTTCTGCTCCCCTTGTCTTCTCTGCAGGAGATTGGGGCAAATCTGTAATACTGGGTAGAAATCTACCACAGAAAACAGTGGGTGGTTACTTTGGGTGGGTAGCCTGAACTGCAGGTGGGGTTGCCTGAACTGCAGGTGGGGGTGATGGAGGAGTGCTAAACATTTCTGACTGGTTCAATATTCCATGAATTTTGTCTTAGTAACCCCAGTTTAACTCTCCTCTCCAGATCTATTTTCTCTTTACTCCTAAATTTGACAGGAGTGAAACATTCTCTCCACAAGCAGAAGAGATTCTTGGTTAAGAAAGAATAAAAAAAAAGGATTGAAATCCCATTCGAGTGAACCTGAGAGCTTACTTCATCTTAACTGGTTGTACAACCTAACAGCCGTTGCTTTGCTTTGTGTCTTCCTTTCAAGGCTAAGACACTTGTAATTTTTGAAAGCGTCACTTAAAATATATTAATGACACAAATTCCTTGCTTTTTTAAGTCGGTGACATTAATCATTTCACTCTTGTTAAATCAGAACATTAAATCCATTTAATCAAGCCTTTATTCTCTTTATGTGAAGTGTAGCACCTCTTTACAGTCTAGTACCTCAATGAAACGACTCACACATCCATTTAGCAAAGAGAGCAACAGAAAAGCCAGAGTAGACTTACTTTGAGAGTGGATAAAGATTGGGTTATTCTGTTTGAAAACCTGGAAAAATATACAAGGAGGGCAGTTGAACCCCCACTGCTACTCCTTTTAACTCTTTATTCAGTCTTCCACAGTTCTGTCATGTCTTACACAGCTGGTTTTACCTGATATTTATTTATTTATGGAGACGGCTGCCAAGTTAAATTGCCCCAGCGTCTTTTTGTGGTCTGAAAGGAAGCATTATATTACTGAATCTATATGTATACCTGCATGTAGTGCTGGGCAAAATTTCAAACATTTATTGAGCAACAGAAAAGGTCAGCAGCAGCGTTAAAGGCAGGCTAGAGAGACAGTGCATGTTTTCCTTACAGGCAGTATATCAGTATTTAAACATTTTTACAAAATGCTAATTAAAGTGTGATTAGCATTTTTTCTGGTTTTCAAGCATGTTTTCACTTTTAAAGTGTCATTCATAACATCTTGGAATTTGCATAGGAATGCAAATGCATAGAATTGTCTATTTCACAATATTTCTAATTAAATCTGTTAATAATGTTTTGTAATTCATTTAATATGTTTGTCATGTCTGAATTAAAACAGAAGTGGTCTTAGGAACGTTCAACTGTATGATGATATTTATCAAAACTATCTTTCAAAAGCTCTACCGGTCTACATCTTGATTTCCTGACCAACAGACAACACATGCATTTCAGTTTGTGTGAAACATGAAAGTGATTGACAGTTTTCATTTTGTTTTCATGGACTTTATGTTCACTGCTACTGTTTCTTGCTCTTTAACTGACGAAATCAATCAAAACTCAGAAGTGAGTTGATGTAGTTGCTGTAGATGAAAATGTTATTTGTTTCTCGTATGAGGACGTCATTAAATCATAATTCGGAAAAAACCTTTGCTTATTATTAAACTGGCCAAACCTCCGGCGGTAATGTTAATTATTAGTACTGATTATTTATAAGGTGGCCTGTCTTTTTGAGAGCTTCCCTTCACTGGATCAGTGTTTTATAAACACTGATCAGCCAGAACATTAAGAACACTGAATGACAAGTTGATTACTGTAATATTGCTCATCTCATTACCATGGAAAGGTTTGCATAGAAAACCCACATCTTAGCATTTACTAGGATGCTCCATTGACACTTGCTGCCCACCCACCTTCCATCCTCACTAGGATGCATCACTGAAAAATATACAGCTTAGGATGGGTGAATCATAAGATTGTAATATTGGATTGAACTAAGTAGTCATAATGCTATTAGTGTATAGCAATATGTGTATTTTTATGATTGCTTAAGGTTTAAATGGAAAAGTGGAGCTCGTTACAATCTGCTCAATATGGCCCCTTTCAGAAATGCTTTAGTGTGAAGGCATCAGTTTGTGTTTGTGGAAAACATTTAAAAGAGATATTGTTTCAGTAAATATGACATACGTCTTGGTGCCTTGAGGAGCTCCAGCAGCAGCAGGAGGCCTAACTGCAGTCATTCGAGTTCTCTTTTCACTTCAATTTCCAGTCTGCCTCCTGGTTCTTTCAGCAGCCATAGGAACACTTGGACACAGATTGGTAATGTTAAGAATCGAGGGGTGGAAAAATCCCATTGCTGTTGCATTTAGCTATGATAACCTAGCTAGCAATGTGAACTCCTACTAAAAGTTAAAATGCATGCATGTCACAGTCTGTTCTTTACTTTTTCTGATTTAATTGATTCATCTACATTGCAGACACACGGTTTACGTTCGGAACAGCTGACAAGAATTTGATTTAAAGATCATTCTGATGCTTTTAATACAGTTATCAGTCTTGGAAACATAAAACCCACTGCAAACACAGACAATATTCTCAGCTGAATACCAGACACCCCTTTATCATTTCATACTGGTGTAGTTTTGGTCATTACCCAGTTTTCTTATTTTTGCGGAGCCACTTGCTGATGGCATTCTGCACAGAGTTTTGATTCATATCCAACAGAGTAGCAGCTTCTTTAAAATTCAATGGAAGTAATTTTCTATATGCTACCTGTAGTGAAATGGTTGACTGGTTGTCTTTTTTTCTTTTTTGTTTAAATCTGCCAAGGTAGTAAGTTTTGGATTGATGTTTGGTCATAAACTTGGCATAGTCTTTTTAGAACTGATGTCTCTTAGAGGGAATGAAGCTCCCACCACACTGGTATTGGATCCTGTACACTTGTGTACAGTGATCTAGAGCTCACTAAGCTACTCGTTTGAGTACATGCACATGATATTGGATCGCTACCCGATGCTTGTACTGGCATCAGTACATCCCTAATAAAAAGGAAATGTGGTATAATACGAGGTTTTCAGAAAATTAGACTTTAGCACTGACATTACCATTTATATTGATAAACTAAAAAGTACATTGGTTTTGATCTAGAGCTCACCAATTATTTCAATATTCTGGAAGAAAAGTATATGAAACATGCTAAGCCAAAATATTACCAAAGCAGCTAAGAATTGAGTTTTAACAAAATATTCATTCTCTTATTAAACACTATAGATTGTCATTTGCAGTAGTTTGTAAATCCTTCACAGCTTCCTCCTACTGATGTCTCCGTCCAGATTCAAATGTGAAGCTAAAAGATGGACACTTTTTTTTTTTTTTTGATAAACTGCCTTTAATTAATCTGTCTAATACTCTGCACTCAATAAGGAGAAAACGAGATAATTCTGGAGTGTTCCTGGCACTACAGAGAGACGAGTTCCTGTGACTTAAACCTCTACCTCCAGGGTGCTCTTCACACATGACCTCAACACTTAGGGCGCTATGATCAAATAGAAGCTGGTGGGAATGGATTCTCTTAAGTACCTGTTAAGTGCATTTTGGTAAGGAAGTAACAGAAGTTAAAATACAGTTAGTGTTAAAAAAGACAATGCACTCTTCCTTAATGCAATGGTCTGCACTCAGGCTATATGGACTTTTAAGTGTGAGCATATATACGTTGGTCCAGCCTACAAGGGGGGCGTCATTTCCAGATTTTTTATTTTTTTTTCACAAAAAGAACGTAGTGGTATGTCAAAGAAAAAGTCTACTTAGAAGATGTACTTAAATTGTAGAGTATTTCCAATTTAAAACTGTCCAGCCATGTTGTGTTTAATGTAGTAAAGAAAACTGTCTGGCTGCTAGGGCGGTACCTGGCTGGGCTTAATGATATTAGAGAACCCTCAAGGTGCCTGGAAGTCTTTTCTATATCAGCAAAGCTGATCACCAGGAGGGAAGATTGGTCGACTGGAGACTAATCCGGAAATTTACCACAATGATTGTGCAGCTGCTGGGGCCAAATCCTGCTGGATCTTTGTGCTGACACTAGTTCTTGTCGAGGTTAATAAAAACCAATATAATCTTAACCAAATTCCTCAAACTTGGCATGCGTGTACTCATTAGCTAAATTATCTCGGTATGCGTTGCAGTTTTGATCCTTGTTTTGACTGTCCACTTTCAGTTTTCACCACTCACCAGAAAAAAGTGTACAATGATTTTAACATGCTAGTTAGTGATCTATTTATTGTACTTTCATATAAATGTTTTGAAATGTGTTTTTACAGACTTACTTGTATAAAGAGCCTTGAAAAGGCATTTATGTGCTATAAACTTTTCAGAGTTTGTTTTAACAAGAATGAAGCATAACTATAAAGCTAATCAGATTGCTTTGTGGTGCTAGAGGATTAATTTATATAAAATAAATGAAAGCTGTGCAACAAAAATGACTAACACCATAGGCACAGATACGTGATTCAACAGTTGTAAAGAATTCCATAGACTGTTCAGTTTATATCATGTACCTAATGCCACTAAAAGGTACTGGTCCAACGATCTGAGGGAATGTTAATACAGGTAAAAAGCAGAAAGAGAAAAGACAAATAAGAGTTTTCAAACTGGATTTGTAAATAACGAAGGCGCTGAAGAGAAGCCAAAGTTGGTGAATTGTAGTCACGTTTAACAGTTCCCAATTTTATTCCAGTCCAAATGAGCTTATAAAGAACCACAGATAAAAAGTTTAGTTTCTAGACAAGCAAAGTATGCAGAGACACAGACGGTCTAAAAGACTTGCTCTTACAACTGCAGAAAATTGTGGTCCTTCATATTCTGCACATCAATTCAGGGGAGCTGAACCCAAACGCAAGACCCCTTTTAGTTTCCATTTATAAACAGAGAATTTTTAAAAATATGTATCCTTTTTTTTCTCCTCTTCTCAATTACGCATTACTGTTTTGTTCTATTGAATAAAACTTTCAAGGCAGTGTTAAAAAACGAAATATAAAGGGAGACGTGCAAAAAAACAAAAAAAGAAAATCAGAATAATGTTATTTTCAAACAAAGTGTTTGTGGTTTTCTCACAAACCACATTCATTTAGCTGTTGTGTCAACCACAGTGGGTTTGTGATTAGGAAAGTAGAACCAGATTATCATATGAACTCTGCTCTCCCTCTCCCCTCTGCAGCATGTCTCAGGAGACGATGCAGGAAGTCTTCCTCATTCGCACTACAAGTTTTGCATTAAGGCAATTACTAAATAACATTGCAGATGTAGAAGTCATTGTTGTGTCCTTACTGTGGTGGCGTTCATTTCGCCTTGACGCACAACTTCAGAAGAAGTATAAAATTCTGCTTTACTTTACCCCACCTTATTTTCTTGTAATTTCTGCTGGCTCCCATTGCAGGACTGGGTGAGGGGGAGAAGTTGAGCAGATGCAGGTGGATGTATATTTATGAGGGGGATGTGTATTTCAGGGCGAAGCAGCGCGTTGTGAAAGGTGACCTTGTTAGATAAAAGGAGGGCTCGAAAGCCAAATGATGAAAGAGAGGGGGATCATCCTGGGCTCATTAATGTGGATTTGAAGGTCAGGTAATTATAACAATAGATGTGTGGGCCGGCTTTGGCATCTGGTTTTGTTGCTTTGTTATGGCGGTGACAAGCGTGCGGAGGAGAGGGATTAATCACGGTGACACCACCTTGTTGTCACTTCGATACATTCTGACATCATAACATAAAGCGCTGCGGTTCTTGAAGAAAGGTGTGGAAACTATTTATTTCTAACCACAAGCAGTAAACGTTGTCCAGTTGAAAGCATAATTTTTATATGCATATTAGTCTTTTTCAGTTTTTATTTTATTTTTTTATTTATTTTTTTATTGATTTTCCTTCCAAAATCAACTTGTGAAAAATGTTTCCCAGGCTGATTAAATTTATTGGAAATGTTGATGTAATGGCGGTAAAAGATCTTGTTTTTGTCTCAGTGTGATGTAATAGGAATTATAGTACTGGGATAAACTCCTTCTAGTCCACTGGTGAGGTTTTATCACTACAGTGCTTAACCATGCACACTTCAAAACATTTTCAGATTTATACTCTTGCAATATTACTTAATTTTTGCACGAGATTCACGCGCAATATTAGTGTCACTTGTCACTAAAGCCTTAAAAAAAGAGCACACATTAAATATTTTATCAGTAGCAAATCTTTTATTTTGACTGCTTGGATCAAGATGATGCTCAGGTGATTATGAATATATTTGTTATTGAGATGTTAGCTTATCCACCCGCTATATTTGAGTGTGATATTTTCCTCGTTTGTTTGAGTCACAGTTGCATCACTGTGAGTAAATCTGCTTCTGTGATGATGCCAGCTCTCCCACTAGTTTGTCTGGCTCAGTCGGTCTCCTCGGGGGCCGCTAAAAGCAATAAAGAACAAAAAAATGCCAACGAGTATTATCAGGCAGGGCTGCATGTGTGGTGTGACATGCATTTTTAATGTGCAACAAATAAGAAATGCTATTGATGCTGCTCCTCTCTCGTTTCTCAGCTGATGGCTCATTTAAGTTTTATTTCTATTTGTTGGAATTTCAGCCGAGACAAATGGCGAAGCGGTCCCTCGTCATTAAAGGTTAGAATTACTTCAATAAAAAGCCGAGCTCCTAAAACATTAGATGTCTCACTCCAGGTATCAAATTCTAGCTCCAATCGCTCCATTTGGTGTGTTAGGTGCAATGTGTGCAGGATGTTGTGTGTACATTTGTATGTCTGGTGAAAAGTCACACAATCTCAGGGCTTGTTAAGACAACCGTTGGAGTGGAAAAACGTGTGTGTCTGTTTTTTTTTTTTGGTTTGAAGGAAAGAAGAGAGCTGGAAGCACAGGACAATGTTCCCCTGGAAACAAAACCCCCGAAAAAGAACAAAGCTTTCATCAACTGACTGGCTGAACTTCAACATACTGACCTTACCTGTTAGACAAAAAAAACAATAAAAATATTGAACAACCTTTGCCAGTCCAGTCTTTAAATTATTATCCGTTAGTTTTCAGAACCATTTCTTTATTGTTGTAAAGTTTCATTGATATGCATGTTATGTTTATTTTACTTCCTGCCAATACAATTGCTGTAAAGCTTGCAAGTTTAGTCAGTTTACGACTACGAAATTTCATACTGGCAGTAACTGAAATTATGCAATATACAAAATAACCATTCAGGGATCATAGATTTCTGGCTGTTTTTTTGTAAATCCTTAGCCTGCTGAATTTTGTTTCTGAACT